TCCAAAAAGCCAGATGTAGAGTTGTTGTTCAAGCTGCACAATCCTATCCTTGAGTGAAAAAGCTAAGGGACAGCACCTAGGCCCTGAATTCAAGCTCCAGAATGGGGCATGCACGCACGCACACATGCACACGCACACACACCCCCCACCACCACCACCACACCACACAACACTCAAGTGTGTTAGTTTTTACTTTTATTCAACCAAATTTTGGTCATTGGGTGCCAGGTACTGCATAGGCTGTGCAGGTTCCTTCCCTTCACTCTGTGCCATTCCTGTGACCTCTTAAGAAGATTAAAGCGCCAAAGATAAAGCCCTAAAGGCAGGATGTGCACCAGGACTGGGCTCCAAAAGATGCTAACTACTCAAAGTAGTAGATGCTGGCTATTCTCTACAAAAAGTTACCAGAGAGTAAGCATAAGAGTAATCCTGTCCACAGGATTCTTGCTATACAGAACCATCTTGCTTCCTTCCCCCTCTGAGGTAAAAGAAACCATACATGATGGAACATTTTTTTCCCTCTCAGGTTAAAACCAAGAGAGGAACAAATTGATTCCATCAGCAGGCCCTGGGCCTCTGCCAAGGATGCTTCCCTGGATATAAGCTGGGCCCAACCCTGGGCTGAGGGCCCAGGCCTTAGAGCCAGATAGCAGCGTGGTTAAAGGGACACAAGGTTTGGACGTAAGCAAGCTGTTCTGAGCTCAACACAGCAGTATTTATGAGCTTCCCTTGGAAAATGAAAATGCACAGGAGAAATGTTCATCACCAACATGTGCCAAAGAACAGAGTTGTAAAAGACAGAAAGCCTTGGGGGGAAAAAAGCTGTTGCCAAAAGTGTTGAGTACTAAGAATATGCCTGGTTTAAGATGATATCTTAATTATTTTTTAATTAAAAAAAGAGGAAGATGAGATGAAAGAGGAAGGCAAAGAATAACTAGGAGAAATTCTAAAAAACATTTTACATATTTTGTAAAATTTATTGTAAGTCCAATATATCCATATTGGCCAGTCCTTCTGTTCTAGTAAGATTAATAATATTTCTCTTCACTAATCAAATAAGGACCAACTCTGGAAACAATTAAGAGGCAATGTGCTCTGTCAACACACAGAGAAGATAACATCTCTCTCATGGCAAACTATAGCTTCTTGGTGAAAACAGAAATTCTTCAACAGTGAAAAAGTAAAAGGGTTTGTGAATATGAAGGTAAGTGAAAAAGACTCGTGAAACCATCCATAAAATTGATGTTTAAACCTCACTTGAGAGTTTGATATATGAGCTTGGATTAGTGCTTATAAATCTTGGCCCCTGTTTGAAAATGGTTATTCCAGGTTACAGTCATTGAATCTGGGAGCCAAAGAAGCATTTAATGACCCTTCTTTCCACGGGCTCATCAACAGCCTGTCTGCAAAGGTTGCTTTCCATATTGCATGGCTGATGGTGATTTTCAAACATCTTGATCATTTCATGATTGAGAAGAAAGGTTGTTTTTAGACGCTTTAGTTCATAGCTCCAGAATAGAAGGTAGCGGGTATATCTGGTAACTGGAATGTTCCATAAATTGTGGCTGATGGTGAGAAGAGCAGGTCCTCCAGGAGGGAGTGTAATGAGGACAGGACCATCAAGGGCCCTCTGGGAGGAGGGGAGAGCAGGAGCTAGAGTATTCTAATGAGGTGGCTCGAGGGAAAGGCTTTCCTTATTGCAAGCTGGGATAACTAATAAGCAAGTCTGGTAGTGGCCACATAATCTGTTCAAGAAAGCACAATAAGCTGGCTGTGCTAGCAAAATACAAAAAGTACTTTCCCAAAAGAGAAGTGTTGGACATCTAAAAGGAGTCATCAGAGTTGACTTGAAAAAAGTCAAATTAACTTCCAAACATTGACAATACATATAGACAGTCCTAAGATATATAGGGTATAGTCCTCCAAGTCTCAAGCTAAGTTGATCTTTTGTAAGTTTTCCTTGCTGATTGCAAATATGCTAAAATCACACAAAACAATATATTTCAACCTTTGAATGCAATTCATCTAGGAAAATACTGAGATCACTGTCATAGGCTTTATAGCAATGAAGAGCTCCACTGGCTCACTGAAAGGTGGGTTACAAGTACAAGGAGAAAGCTCAAGCGAGTGGAGGGGCTTTGGTGCCTTTTTGAACAGCAATATCTTGCGAGGGCTAAACTTCTGGAAATAAAGGCTAAGTTTCCGGAAACAAAGGATGAGAATTTCCTACCTTGATTAATCTCTTTGTCTCTGGATGGTACTCCTAATTCTTAATCAACAAAAGATGAACCAATGAAACGAGAAAGAACTGTCATGTCAACAGTGCGGTAGAGGCAGAGGTAGGCAGGAAATGTGTGTATCACACCTGTGTATGAGTCACGGCGACCTTTGTCTGGCAAACACAAGCTCTAATTCATTCCCACATTCCTGGCCTTGAGAACCCACACAGACTTCCTGGTATCCATTTTCTCAGGTTGAAGAAAGAGAACGAATGTTCTACTCTTCTTGTTTTGTTCTATAAGTTTTATATATAAATGGATAAACGGACTCCTTCAGGATAAATGGAATCCTCCAAAAGAGTATAAAACATAAAAATGGGCCTATTATGGAACATGGCACATACAAAATCAGCTTGTAAGATCTGTTGCTCATACTACAGCGGAGATCCATTTGGGATGTCTTTGCTGAAGAGTCTCTAAATGCTTCTAGAAGCTGCCCCAGTGTGTTTGGTGTAATCTGTAAGGGAACTGATGAACTGTGGGTTACTGCAGAGTCATCCACTCTGCCTTTGCTAGACCTGACCGAGACTCTCCATTTTGTTTTGAAGACTGAGAGCATATACTATGGCCTGGCAGGCATAAATGTCAGGAGAGACTGGTTTTGCCAGTCCATGCAGGTCACTACTACTAGAAAGAGGAAGAGCATTCTTAGGAAGGGGGACTCAGGTTGTAGGCTTCTAAATTCCTATGTGCTTTTCAGCTGCCACTTGGATACAAATTTAGCAGATTAGTGAGTTAACCAAGAATGATATATTAAAGTACTGTGCTCTACCATCATGTACAGTCCTGTCTACAAAGGAATTGAGACTATGTATTCATTCACACCTAAGCACACCAATCACTACCACAGCTGGGTGTGTTGATAGTCACGAGGGGGGCAAAGAGGAACATATCCTGCTGCTATAGACTAAATGTTTGTATTCCTGTTGGACTCCTCAACCCCGAAGTAATACTTTTTGCCTGCCTGAATAGAATTTGTGTTCTTATAAAGGAGGCCTCCAGAGAGACACGTGTCCCTTCCACCATGAGAAGACTGAGTAAGGAGGTGCCATCTTAGAGACATTGAATCTTACCACCATGATTAAGAACATCAGAAATGGATTTCTGTTGTTTGTAACTGACTCAGTCTATAATAATTTCTTATCATAGCCTGAGTAAACTAAGACATTTCTCCATTTCCTCCACAACTAGAGAAAGGAGAGGGGCAGGTTGCCATACTGTAAAGACACAATATGGTAAGTGAGCTAAACACAGCGAGGCTTATAGTAACATCCTTTGAGGGGATAAAATACGGTTTCAAAGAAGAGGTTACTTTAAGGCTAGGTCTGGTTTGTTGACAAGGGAGAAATAAGAACATAGTCTAGTTACAGGCAAGTTTTTGCATAGAATGAAGATGCACAAGAAAAATGAATATTTTGGGACAAAAGTGAGAAGATACTTCTAGTTAGCACTTGTGAGTGTCGGACGAGGGTAACAGACCTGGGGAAGAGATGCTATCGACAGTACTGAATATTACTTGAGGTAGTTTGGGATTTTTCTTGAAGACTTTAGAAACATTCTTTAGCAGGCAGATAAGAATGATGATCAGTACACAGACCATTAGGAAGCTATTATAATAAGGCTGGGTGAATGCAGAGAAGACTCAGACTATAGGTGCCGATGACATTAAGGAAGGGGGAAACACCCCAGCTTCCTGACTGTTGTTAGAAGGATTATTGGAGAAAGAACAAAATGGGCTGATCATCTATTCAGTTGGGAACATTTTGCATGTAAGATTCAGTTTCCCTGGTTATAAAATAAATGTAAGCAAATTTCTAATTAGAATTGGAGTTGTTACGAAGTTTAAATAATATAACAACCAAAGAAAGAATACAATACTATTCCTTATGACTAGAAATGTGGAAGTGTGAACCCTCCAAAAAATCTGAGTCAGAAGAGAAACATTTGAGATTTATTGGCACATGAATTATACATGTTTGGAAGTGTGGTAAGGTATAAGTAAGTTTCATCATCCAGGGCTTTATCATCCTGTAACTTGTGTCAGGAGTCCTGGTACACCAAAATATGTAGCACCTCAGGCATTAAGATGGAGGCCAGTGAAGCAACTTTGAAGGTTTAATCCCAGTGCGGGAATATTGAGAAAATGGTGTTGAATAAAAAGCAAGCAGTGAATAACCCCAGGGTAATTCTTCCCAGAGACTGGTAGAATGGAAACAGAAAGAACGGCCTAACACTCAGGGCATCATGAGTACTTTCAGTAAAAGCCATTGTAGTCCAGGACAGGGAGTGGTGAAACCAGACAACAATTCCTTTAGGAAGACTGCATTTCTGAAATACATTTTAACACTTGATAATACTTTCATCGAGGAATTCATTCTGCAGGTCTGCAACACGGAGCATTTACTCACAGGAGTCACAAAACCACCTTTCTTATTTAATTTGGAGAACATAGGGACTTGAAAGGCAGACTGAGAAAATTACTGCTGTCTGGATTTATTAGGTCTCTTGTTTTTGCATAGAGAACAGAACATTGAGTTTGAGGGAAAGAGTGAAGGGAAACAGGAGTAAAATATAAAGTCTCACAAACATAGTAAGTATTCTCTAACAAAGCAGAAAGTAGTGCTTAATCAGGCACTGCCTGCAGAGAAGTGAGTGTCTTAGAGACTATACTCACCTGCTGCTAAAGATAGGTTTGCAAGCCTTTATGACAGCCACTCTTACCTTCCTTTTGATATCCGTGAATTGGGAAAACATTAAAGACCAATAAAATGACAGCTCCAAGATGTAATAGTAGTGAAGGTCAGTTGTCAGTGGCTGAGGATGAAAGGAAAGAAGGAAAAATGGATAGTTAATAGGGAACCCAACTTGTATCCCAAACAGGTCAAGCTCAGGGCTAAAAGGTAACATGGTCTCATGCTACACAATGAAGTACCTGCCCTATTCTCTTTGTGGATAGGGGAGCTCTCAAGGTCACCTCTAATCCATAGCTCAATGACTTTTTTTTCTTTTCATCTTAAACCCAAAATGCATTAACCAGGGTGAATAGTTCTGGGTTCCAATTCCTTATTCATTTTCACAATAGTATTTGTTTCTTTCACATGAGTTACTGCAGAACTCCTTAGGCAACTTGAAAAATATATCTAATGTATATATAGTATGAATAATACTGGAATATCTATCAGAGTTGGATGTACTGGGATAAGGAAGGTAAGTGACAGAAACTGAAGTCCCAGATGGGCCACTGAGGCATAGTTTCAAGTTCTTCAGTAATCAGAAAGCATTGTTTGTTATTAGGACATGTACAAGGATTTAAAACTATTTATAAAAAGATCAGAGGGACAGAAAGGCTTCCAAGAGATACCAGACTGGGCACCCAGGAAGGATATGTGAGATGAAGAACCAGCTCCATAGCTTGGGTATAAAACTGGGCTTTAGTTTACTTACCTGTAAAAATGGACTGGGGTAGGGGAGATCATGCTTTAATGGCCTCAGAGACTTAGGGGTGGGAGAGCTTACAGAGTTAGTGAAGTCAGAAATATTTATTTTGCACATACATCTACTACAGACAAGTTTTCCAGAAACATTTTTGATGAGCTGTGATTAGAATAGAATGTTTTAGTTTACCATGAAAAACCTTTACAACTGATGGCAACCATGAACATACCTCTCCTCACAAGTTAATACTAGATATAGTAAATGTGACTGGTGTCATATGCATTCTATCCCAGTAACAGCATGAGTGCCCATCCTAAGAAGCTAAGCATTTGCTTAGTTACTTAAACACAGGTATCAAGGAAAGAAATTGTCCAGCTCAGAGTTTTTAACAACAAAATACATTACAGGATTTTTTTTGTAGTACTGGGTATTGAACTCAGTTCTTACTAGACAGGTGCTCTCCCACTGAAGCCACACCCACACCCCCTTTTATGAATTGATATTTTCAAGTTAAAGGCTCCTTTTTCTAAAATTCCCCTTGTCTGACCTCCTCCTTCGGCTTCCCCAGTGTTTCTAGGGATGGTAAGTTTATACCAATAAAAAGCAGGTCTAAACTCTAAGTGACAATGAGCATGACTATGGCTGAATTCATGTCCTCTGTATGGGTTTATTTGTTGAGGCCTAGTATCCCATTTGATGGAGGTTGGAGGTGGGGTCTTTGGAAGATTTTGAGATTAACAAGGGAACACAATCTTTTTTTGGCAGTTTGACATGACTTGAAAAAGCATCTTTTCTTTTTTGTAAGTTAAGCATAGTGTCACCATGGAGAGAATATGTTTCTCACCAACTTCCCATTTAAAGCTTGAAGGTGTTCACAGTGATATTTTGGCAGATGTGAACAGAATAGTCTTCAAAATAGGATCCTGGTTTCAGCATCCTTTCAGCCAAGGTCAAATTTCAATTTTAGTGAGATTTTCTTTCTCTCAGCATCATCAACTAGGAAAAAGCCCTAGAAGGTTCTTAAGTACAAGTTAGATCACATTGAGAAACTGTAGAGTTCACAAGAGAGCACTGTACTCTAATTTCCATATTCATGGACTACTCAGCAGCTCATGAAGCTCACTCACATGCTAACTTCTTTATTCTCATGAAACCTCTAAGAAATTAGTACTCTCATTCCAGGTCTAAATTATAGAGTTGACAGGAAATTGCTGTCAGTTAATTCAGGTTAGGAGGCCAAGTCCGTGTCTCGGCGTAAGTGAGGTCTCATGACCTGAGCATCAGGGTTCTCATGTCTAACATCTGCTCCTTGTAACAAGCTATATGAGGCCAGGTCAATTGAGTGCAGCCTTATATTATTTTCATCTTAAAACATACATATGGAAAAATATAACAAATGCAAGGAGGAGGAGTATGCCAAAACAACCTTCAAGTGCACTACTATTTTTTAATCTGAAAAATCTCAATTACTTGTGTAATATATATATATATGCTAAAAGCATAATAAATATGTTTTATGAGCATGTTCAATCTTTCAAAGTACTCTGGAAATTTGAACTTGACTTTGAACTGCAATCTACTAAACATAATTATATACAAAGCACTATAATTATAAAGGTAACAACTACATGTTTAGTGTTTAATCCTTCCATACACATGCAAAGAGAACTCTGTTAAGATTTTTGAATATATGTATTTGCCAAGGATGACCATTGTTCCCAAGTGATCAAGAGAACATGGATTTATTCTCGATGTTGGGAGGCTTATGCTGAATTATTCAAGGTTAGGCCATGTTGCCTCATCAGTGGAAGTTAATTCTTGGTCAGAATTCTTCTCCACATCTTTCCTTCCACAGTTATTTTTTATTTTTAAGAACAGTGATATCTGCTAGGCCCTCAACCTTTTGTGTTGAGTCGATAGTGCTGTTTTTGAATTTCTGCTGCTACATTTTTTGTCATAGTCATAGCAACTTGTCTTCTCAAACAAGTAATTGCTCAGTTCCAGCCAAGATTGTGAAATTATTTTTGACTGCATGGTAGTTAAGGAGAGTAGCTATCCCATTGCAAGTGGTTTGTTTCAGTGTCTTCCATGTTGTAGAACTTACTTCATAGCTAGCTATGAGGTCTTACAGCAGCTGCTAGGCTAACATTCCAATTAAGGTTGTAGCAGTCTTTAAAATCCTTTTATAAATAGAAATGTGTGTGTGTGTGTGTGTGTGTGTGTGTGTGTATTATCTACTCAGTATACTATTATAGAGTACAAGGAAAGCCTTAAATGACAACATTCCAAGTACTTAAGACACCAAAAGAGAAGTTGGGCCTGAGAATTATAACTGAATTCTGAGAATTACAATGATGGTACATGAGCATTTCTGCCCTGCCTCAGGTGATAACAGGTAGTTTGTGTACTAAACTTTCTCTAACCAGATCCTGTGACTTATTTGCATTTTTCCAATCTAAACAAACTGCTTGAAGGGGATGGAAATGTCAACTTGAGTTCCAGGGCCTATAGCCAAGAATTTTCCCAAGGAGAATCTAATGCCAGTCCTTACCCAGGTTGTCACTCTGTGACAGAGATGTGCTGCTGCCCATTAACCATCTGCACACCTAAAGGACAACCCCAAACTCAAACAAACTGCTTGCTCTAATGTATGTCTCATTATTTTGCCAACATAAAAATAGTTGCATTTTCTCATAATACATCTCCCAGTTAATCTAGGAATTTCCTAGCTAGGAATTCTTAGACAGACTCTATCACTGACATTCAAATGCAAACTTATCTGGCAACTACAACAACACTTATTAATATGATTGAATTCATGGATTGATGCAAAGGTATGTCAGTAGGCAGGCATGGAAAATGATTTAAGGATCATTTCTGGGACATGTCTTAATCTCACTTTAGTAATATAGAATTTTAATTAGAAACCATCTATATGTAATCATATAGATTCATTTTTTTCTGCACGGAAGAAAATGGTGCTTGATTTACATATTTAAAGGCTGCCGGGAGTTACGAAGTGAGATGAACTCTGAATGGCTGCTCCTGCTTGTTGTTCCCACTTGCAGCTGGAGCTTGTGCTGTCATCACATTGTCACTCTGCTCTGTAATAAGAAGCAGAGCAACCCAGGCAAAGAAGAATCACACTTCCCTTGATCTGATTAAATCCTAATCTACAGAAAGTGGACCTTCTAAGTTTACACCATTGGAGAAAGCAATTGGGCTTTGATTTTGAATACAAAGGAACATACAAACTATTTTGCTTAGTAAATCATGTCCAGAATCAATCAGTGGGGTGGGGCTAAAATGTAAGTGACAGTTGTCAGAAACCATGAACTTGACCTAAGGAAGATCACTATGTATGACCCAGATGGGCAGGTCTACTTACCTGGTAGGGGTAGTTGTACCAGCAGTGCCTTGTATTCCACAACCAGGGAGTCTGGAAAAACAATAGCAAATATGTTTTACATGTTTTAGAATAGCATTAAGAAGATAAGAGATGTTTCCAATGATTCCAATACTTCCAATGATTTCAATAGTTTACCTGTGTGAGAATATAGGACTAAAAACAGCTAGGAATAGGATGTTAAAGCATAGTGGCTCTCTGAGTAATGTTCTAAACTCAGTTGGCAGTATCTCAGACCACTTTTGCATCAAGTTTCAACCTGGGATGTCTGCTGGTCACAGATATAGTCCTGCTATTGAGGATGCATCCATACTTAACAACAGAGCCGCTAGGGTCTTACCAAGATTAGATACAAATCATCCTACTCACTAAGCAAAAAATGTCCTACCTCTAATTCAACATTTACAAACCCACATTGTTAAACCAAGTGCTGGTGGCTTACACCTGTAATCCTACCTACTCTGGAGACTGGGATCTGAGGAGCATAGTTTGAAGGCAGGTGGAATAAGTCAATATTGTTCATGCCTTGCCAGGATTAAGTGACATATAGATATATATCTTACGTACCAATAGGACAGCTCAGACTAACCCTCACAGCACACTCCATTTCCCCACCTGTGGTCAGGTCTGTATGACAAAGCATTCCTAATATGATGACATCAACCTGCCTTACAGAGCTGTATAACTAAAAATAGAATCTCAGAATACACACAGATTCTCAGCATTTATAATAATCAAGGATGTATTCAGATGGATTTAAACAGTTGAACTCTCCAATAATACCAACACAAACTTTCTCATATTTTTGTATTTATCAGACTCTTTCATCTGCCACCTGTAATCACCAACATTTTCGAGTATACATTTCTATATACATGATATACAAGTGTATATCCCCTCGCCATCATCAGATCTATATAATGGGTATATTATGTTCAGGAGGCTAGTATTTGTGGTCTGACATACCTTTAAAGGATATCTGAAGTTGTGCTTTATTCAAGCACTATTCAATTTCTTTCATTTGCTCTGCCCTTGATTTTGCCATTTACTATTTGTCCAGCTCTACATGTATCATTAAATTTCACTGCACTTGAATTCCTGAGTGTGAGCTATATATTTATTTTCTGCATTTCTCTCATCTGTAATACTGGTGTTTATTATTAATCTCTGGGGGTGAATGTTAGGGTCAAATGATATAAATGTTTATGTTATTCTATTTTTATAGCGATATAGTCAATTTTTGCTCACTGAAGAAGATACAAAATATATAGAAAAGAACAAAAATGGGCTGGGAATGTGTCTTAGTGGTAGAGTGCTTGCCTAGCATGCACGAAGCCCTGGGTTTGATTCCTTAGTACCACATACACAGAAAAAGCCAGAAGTGGATCTGTGGCTCAAGTGGTAGAGCGCTAGCCTTGAGCAAAAACAGCCCAGGGACAGCACCCAGGCCCTGAGTTCAAGCCCTAGGACTGGCAAAAAAACCCAAATATTATTTTAATTATCATTTTTGTCTTTCTGTATATGTTAGATATAAATATAGGTCAACATTTATTTTTAAATACACGTTTATGTTTTTAAAGTATGAACATAGCACGCCCAAATCTATTTACAGTACAGTACATATGCTGGTTATTGCCATTTTCTTTGATCAAATTGTTTATCCACAATTAACTGGAAGTCCCTGAGGGGAAATGATGAGATGTTTATTACAAACCTAGAAGTAGTTTTCTGAATACATCAGTCCGGAGATCACAGGGAGCCATCACACCTGTCTGTAAAGGTGCAAACAAGATCTCTTTCTATGTGACCATCCCTTGTGATTTCAGGCAGGAGAGTAAAGGTACGATGTCCAGGACCCAGAAAGATCTACAGCGTAGAGCTCTCCTTCCTCTACGAGCATCTTGGCTAGAACATCTTGGCTACTGCTCTGCTTCTAAAACCCTAGGTGTATCAGATGTGCATCATTACTGTGAACCTGCTACCTGACTGGCCATACAGTGGACAAGGTCTGTTTTTCATGAGCTCCAGCCACCTCATGTAAAGCAAAGGCTGGGGGGGCTGAGTTGGACAGAGCCATTAGGACCCAAACTCAGCTCTTTTTTGCCAAATATTTTAATAATAAATGCTTTCACACACGTATTCATATATACTTCTCTCTCACAATGCCAGATGGTATGTCAGTTTCCATACACACTGTTCATCTTTCCAATATTGCATATTATCACTTGACAACACTGGAGGATAAAATCATATATATATTTCTAGTTCTTCGATAAGAAAACAAAAATCTGGGAGAAAGTGATTTTCCTCATTTGTTGTACAGACTCTACAACCTTATTCTGAACATTCACATGGTAAAAGTAAAGTCTACATAAATATTTTTTAATCAAAAAAAATCTGAAGTACTTTAGGGTCCAGCAATTCAGACAAGAGGTATTTAACCTATAGCTTAACAGTGATATAGAATTTGACATTTATACTACATCATATACATCTGTTTTAATTTGGATTGATTCCTTAATGTTGTTACCATTCCATTTATCAATTTCTCCATTGATGAAAAATTCCATTTTCTAGTTATCTGTTTCAGAATAATGTTCATATTTATTTGATGTAAAAAATCTATATATTACACCATAAAAATTAAACAATAATATCATTAGGACTACAAGATGATGAAGTACTTAGGTTCTACAAACAAATAATGAAGATTAAAATACACTGAAAAGTCTCAGTTTAGAAGGGTGGTTCTATGAACTTTCTTTTTGTTTTTGTATATGATATTTTTCATTTCATGATATATGATCATCTTTCTTTTTATGCATTTTTATTGTTATTATAAAGGTGATATAGAGGTATTACAGTTATATAAGTCAGATAAAGGGGACATTTCTTTTTGTACAATGTCATCCCTTCCCTTGCTCTTTCCCAGTTTTTCCTTCCATCCATGAGCTGTGTAGTTCATTTTCAACATAGTGAGGATCACTTTTGTATTTGTTCAGTCTTTGTCCCACCATTTCTGTGCCCTGCTTACCCTCCAAAAGACAGATAAATGAATAAATGAGACAAAAGGAATATAAAAGGAAAACAGCAACAAAGAAAGAACCTTGTTTCCATTTGCTGGTGTTCATTTCAATAAATACTATTTTATATGATCAGATGTTGTGCCTTTGTGTTCCTCTCCTAAGAATATCTTCCTTTGGTCTCACGGTGTATGAATGCCTAGAGACATGCATAATTAACAAGTGCCAGTTTTTATTTTTTACCATCCAGTATATTTACTTGTAGATTTATAGACACATTCTAGTTAACCAAATGAAGGAAACCATGCAACTTGTGTATTTGGGTCTGGCTTACTTCATTTAATATGTATAACTTTTCCAAGTCTATCCATTTCTTTATAAATTGCACAATATCATTCTTTTTGATGGAGGAGTAGAATTCCATTGTGTATATATACTACATTTTCTTGATCCATATGTCCACGGAGGAACAACTGGGTTGATTCCATAACTTGACGATGGTCAGCAATGCTGGTAAGTTTTGTGTGGCCTTGAAATCTCTGGACCTCAAAAGTGTGTTGCACATTTTCTAGAAACAGAAGGCTTTCCCCACATGGCATTATAATACCAAGGATGTTATCAATGTTGAAAATCCCTAAAATTCAGTGACTCCAAAATGTTGGTGTTCTAATACCTCATGAGTAAGTCATTCCTCATCACATCCTACATTTGAACAATGTGATGAAGCACTTTACAAATTTAAGATATTTTATCCTATTGAGTTTTCAACAATGAGTTGTCACTGTTTAGGGTAATGTAGCCAGCAGGTGCCTTATGAGATCTATAAAGAACATGCCAGCTCAGAGCTTGCCAAATTATTTAAGTACAGGTTTGTGACTCAGTAGGTGTGGGCTGGGGTAAAGTTCTGCATGGCTAAGGCTCTGGATGATGCTGATACTGTTAGATTATGGGTCACATTTTTCAGTAGGAAGGACAGTGCTAGAAGGAAATAGAATGAATGATTTTAAACACTCAGTTATGTTCCACAATTCAGTGTATATGGATTCATTGATAAGTTACTTCTAATTATTACAATAACCATTTGAAGCAGGTAATCAACAGTAGTAAAATAACATCTAGAGACATGCTTTTCTCTCAACTGCCCTCTAAGTTACTACTATATATCTAATTTCTGGCCCAGGAATGTAAGCCACTTCTGCCCACAACAGCTACTAGGAGTAAGTTGGTCTATTTCCTTGCACATATGTTGTCATTGGTAGATAAAAAGAAAACTTTTGCAGTGCTTGACATGGCTCTGCCCAGGACATTTCTGGTGAAATTATCAGCCTTGGTCTGCATTCTCCTACATTGTTTGTATAAGTTAAATTGTTAACATTTTGCTCCCATTCATGCTACTGTATGCACACACACACATACACAAAACATATATGCATTCCCAAAGGGTCATGTAATTTTTTTTTTTGTGGATCATGGGGCTTAAACTCTGGGCTTGGGTGCTATCTCTCAGCTCTTCAGCTCAAGGTGAGTGTAGCACTTGAGTTACAGCGCCACTTTTGGTTTTCTGAAGATTAAGTGTCTCATAGACTTTCCTGCCCAGGCTGGCTTTGAACCATGATCCTCAGATCTCAGCCTCCTGAGTAGCCAGGATTACAGGCTTAGCCACTGGTGCCCAGCGGGTCATATATTTTTTAAGTTTTGTGTTCTTCTGTCATTTGATGTCATATTATAAATTCTCTCTTTTTTCAGTTATACTTCTTAAGTATTGTTAAATGTCTTTATAGTCAGAACTTAAATATTTTTCTTTTTATTATCCTTAAGTAGTGAGATATAAAAAAATAAATGTATAAAAAGAAAATGAAAATATAAGGAAAAGATAGATATTTTAATGGGTAATCAAATCCATTAACTTTTAAGGCAGATTTGTAGCAGATGTGAACCACTGGGTGAAACTGTTCTGTAGGCATGGCTATCTGACCAGTCTTATTTTCTGCAATCCATATTAAAATTTTT